CACACACACACCCACACACACACACACGCACACACACACTCAGGAGGAGCGTCTGGCAGATGAAAGTGAGCACAGAGATACAGTTACACCCAGAGTGTGATGTACCCATTACGGTCAATTTACAGAAACCTGGTTCACAGTGAACCCTCTCAGACTCATCGTGCCACAGCAGCTCTCAAATATCCCTTTCAAATTACACTATTTCAGCTCATTTGCTGAGCCACTGATGGGAGGGCCACTGGGTGGGGTTTTCAAGGTCCTTATGCCACCAGCCCTCCTGCTCGTCCCTCAGGACCCGCAAAGAGAGGCCATTTCTCATGCTTAAAAGGGGAAATGCATTTGGGGGCAGTGGGGTGGGGGGGAGGAGGTCGGCCTCCCTTCATCTTCCCTGCCGCTGAAAGAGGGATTAATGTGCAATGATGTCGCAGGGAGACCAGCATGAATTAGGGATGAGGAGCAGAGAGCATAGGCGACCCCCTGTGACTACAGAGGGATCATTTCTGAGAGCAAAAACATGTTGCAGCCTTATTGCATATACAGATTGTGTTCTCTGAGTATGACATTTACATATGTAACATGGAAAGTGCTGGCCAGCAGTCCAGAGGAAACAGTGTGCCCACTTACCCTGCTTTTACTCTCCCTCTCTCTCACCATGGTTTTCATCTGTGTATTAAGGCCGTGACACACCAAACCGACAACAACAAAGAAGTGGCGAAGAAAGCTGTGTCGCTGCCTCGCTTTGCGTTCTTCAGGTCTAAAACTTTGCACTGCAAAGACTTCTTCCAAGTAGCACATACGTTTTGCGCCTATATGTGAGAGAAAATAACTGTCTATATCTGCAAGTGGCAGTAGTCTATATTCGTTTATTAAAAAAAAGAAACAGAAACTAGGACTGCGAATTAACAAACTGTAAACAAAGAAGCACTTGCTTACCATTTTGAATATGAATCATGTTGATCACTTTCTTTATTCAAGATGCCCATGTTGTTATAAAAGTAAAAAAGTGTATAGACCTTAGTCAGGGGATGTCCATATTTTATTTTGGAGAGAAATTAATACAAGGCTGTAAGAGATAGAAGTACAGTGCGTTAAATAGATTGTACAGTTTTAAAATACCAATGATTCAGTTTTGAAAGCTCTAAATTGTGAAAATCATGTGATCTAGGACCTTTATACAGTGCATGCCATTGTAAAGACTAAGTTTATCCCTCACAGCCTCATTTTCATCCGTGTTAAATTCAAAATGGCATCTAAACCAAATTATGGCATCAATATGCTTAGTTATGATAACCTAAAATTAGTCATTTTAGTAATTGCTCGCTTTCATCACTTTCGCTTTTCTTCTTGTGCAGAGGTGAAGCTGAACAGCCAATCAGAGTGATCTGTTTCACCAACAGCCCAACACTGATTTAACTTGCTTAGTCGGCCCAAAAGCCATCAACGGGGTCCGACTGGTGCCGACGGTGGGGAACACCTTGAAAACTGAGCTGACAGACATTCTCAGACGCCCGACGATCGGCTCGGTGTGTCACACCCTTTAGAAACTTCCAATAGTCGCATCCTCTTTCTGTCTGTCCAGCCTGGTCTCATGTTTATACGTAGGTATTAATACGTAACATTTACAAGTACAAAACGTACACTTTTGTACGTTTTTATTAATGCTAAAACGTACAATTTAGACGTATTTCAACATTTAAAACATACAAATCGCTACTTATTTTTAGCTAAAAAACATAAAAATATTTACGTATCTTTCATATCATCAAGATATTCGTATTGCAGAAATGTTATTTATTTTAAGGTTTAAAGTGAAGTCGTGTTGAACATTATGTAGGCATATTCTTGGAAATGAGCTGGCAGCAGATATCACACAGAACAGAACGAAATGTTATCATTTCATATTAAGTAAACGAGTAAACAATTTAATAATGCAATTAAAAACAAGGTCATTGATATGACAACTAAAAACAACAATAATAATACAATTAATGCCGCGATTTCAATATTCATAAGGATTCATTTTTAGTTGTCGTCAATACGTCAGTTTTGTACGTTTTAGTGCCTGTAAAAACGTACGTAAATGTACGTTTTATAGAACCACATTTTACGTAATATACATACGAATTATCATGAGATCACGTTGGTCTGTTTTACAGAGACACCTTCATTACTTCCCCTTGTTTCAGTCCTCTCAAATCAATACCAACCGCAGACTTGTAACTTTTCCATTTCTCATTTTTTTATTCCTGTTGTCCTTCCTTTCTCAATCCCACTTCATCTGCACTCCACCTGAAATGTCATGTCAGCCCAAGAAGACATGGTCTCGCTCTCAGTCGGCAGCGCTTCATGTCTGGGACAGGATTGGTGACAGTGTCGGTGTAGGAGAGCGGTGCTCCATTCTCAGGGGCTTCCCTCTGAAAAGGGCTTCTCAGCCCAGATTACAGCAGCTCTGCTCCACACCTAGCATGTTCACTGTTATCTCCAGCTCAATACTTTGATCCCATCGAGAGTTAGTCTGGAGGCACCTACAGAGAAATAGGATGAGAGAGAATTCAATGAGACCATCGGAATCCGCCAAGATAGGAACAGTTTAAGAAACTCTGAGGAGTTTATATAATTATTTCATTTAGCTGTTTGAATCATGGCATGAAGTCTCTCTGTAAAAAATATAAACGCATTTGCAGTACCAAAAGGGTGAGTTAATAAAGTAAAATTTTTTTAGGTTTGTGATTCCAATTTGCGAAATTTGAAATATTCTTGCTGAGCAGACAGGGAGGGACAAGTTACATCTACTGGACACACAAAATGCTAAAATGACACTGTGTATAGACTGGCATTTGATACAATTGAGAGTAATTAACACAAGCATGCACACACACACACACACACAAAAGCTCATTGTTATGTTTTAGTTGTAAGGCTGTTTTATGTATTTGTTAATGTTTAAAGGCTATGTGTAATGTAATTTGTTAATACCTGTGTTTCAAATTCCTTTCATTCCTGTGAGCTAAAATGCTTAAAATGAAATGGTGGCAATAAATATTGTGAACAAGTCAACTGATTATCACAAATTTATTACATAAAACAATAATTTACACCGTTCATGGATAAGTAGTAGGTTTTATAAGTAATTTGATAAATGTGAAAATATTAAAAAGACACTCAAACAAAAATGTTTACTCCCAAGTCTCCCTTATCAGATACATGCATTTATTTGATTTAAAAAAAATGCACTAAAACACTAATATGAAATACTAAATTCACTATATGGGGACTCTCCATAGGCGTAATGGTTTTTATACTGTACAAACTGTATTTTCTTTTGCCCTACACCAACCCTACATCTAAACCTAACCCTCACAGGAAACTTTATGCATTTTTACATTCTCAAAAAAACTCATTCTGTATGATTTATAAGCTTCTGTACCCATGGGGACCTCAATTTAGTCCCCATGAGTTGGTGTGTATTCAGGTTTAAGTCCCCACCAGTATAGAAAAACATGTACACACACACACACATACATATATACACTGATATCAGACAAATTTGTCAAACAAGACTGGAATAATGGCTGACAATTCAGCTTTGCCATCACAGGAATAAATTACATTTTAAACCATATTAATCTATATATATATATATATATACACACACAGTGACTGACCAGAGTAATACTTACTTAACACCTGCAAAGTGCAGAGCAATTTTATTAAACAGTACTTCTGAGCCATTATTTCCATCATTACTCTATTTGTGTCTCAGCATGTGTACACCAAACTCCCCCTCAACCGAGAGAGCGAGACAGAGTCCCTCAGCACTCATGAGCTGCTTGAATGGGTTAAAACAGGAGGATGATGGAAGACATTCACTATCCGAAACATTCTGTGCAAGAAATAATAGGAGAAATAGAGTGACAGCGAGAATATAGCACAGATGGATGACATAAATCAGCCAGTTTTAATGACGTGTGAGAGAATTAGCCTGGACAATCTGTCTGGAGAGTCAATCATTTGATTTGAGCTAATGAAGTGGGTACATGTGTTTTGAGAAGCATCTAGTGTTTCTAAATTGCAGCTCATCTTACCTCTTATACAGAAAAAAAGAAAACACTGTGCCCAGCGAAAGTTCAGTTTCACAGTTAGCAGACCGTGAGAACCAGACAGTGCGACATAGCTGAGCTGAGAGGAAGCGCGTGTTATTTACAGGAATGAAAAAAGTACAGCATCAAAGTTTTGTGTCCGTGTTTTAACCATCCGCCCAGCTACCCTTTCTTCTCCTCTCTCTCTCTGTCTGTCGCTGTCCTTCTCTCTCAGAACTGATCGACGGCACCCCCACCCTGAAAATTAACCACGGCTCGGGTACATTGGTCCTGCAGTTGCCGGGCAACGTTTATGTAGCGGACAGACGGTGGCACAGACTGGACGTGAGGAGCAACAGCAAAGTAAGTGTTCACCGTTAGCAGGCGGCTGACTGCTGAGCCCAATCGAGCGGAGGCCTCTCTCTCCCTGCCAGCTTCCTTCAATAATACACCTCAGCACTTTTGCACAAGTCAAAGTCTTACTTATCTCTTCTGAATTCATCTTCACAGTCTGAAAGGGACAGTGGAGCTGTGGTCGCAGCTGTTAACCAGGGTTTACTTGATCCCAGACATTGTTTAGTGTGCTAATTTGTATTCAGTGTTGCCAGGGCTGTTTCAGATTCAGTGGCTTCTCGGTTGCTGCTAGGCTCTGTAGTAGCGCTGGCATGTAGTCTTGCTGTGGTGCAATTTGCCTTAGGGTCAGCCTGAAATTGCTTGAAATTATAATGCTTATTGTTCAATACAAACAGGATGCAACTGTCCTGCTGGGTGCGAAAGGAACATTGCAGGTTGGAGCTTTTAGCATCTTGACATGCTATGTGTTTATTATTACCACGCCTGAGGGTTTAGCCTCTGCAGAGAGTGGAGAAAGAGGCTGAAGTGTGTGGAAACACATCAGCTTTTTTTGTTTGTTGCTTCTTCCAGCATTGAAGATTTCAGAGAGAAAGAGGTCTTGACTTACGTGTCTGTATAAGCAGACAATTAAGGCTGGAATACGCAACATGGCTTTTGCCCAGATTTTCGCCCCGATTTACTGAAAGTCAGAACCAGTCTACAGATTTTGGGTCTGTCGTAGTTAACAGATTTCACAGAAAATCACGTAGTGTATGATGGGCACAGACTGCTTTTTTAGCTTCAGGATATCAAACGTTTGTTATTTTGAGCAGATGTTAGAATGCATATTGTTTTCATTTATAATGCATGGCGCACATTTCTGTGTGAGTTTGTTTTGTTCAGAATGACTTTAATGTCTGGTAGTGTCGTTGAGGTGCATTGATGGGATGGGAAATAAAAATGCTGTCATCATTTACTCACCCTCATGTCATTCCAAACCCATAAGACTTTTGTTCATCTTCAAAACACAAATAAAGAGATTTTTAATGAAACCTGAGATTTTTGTCCCTCCATTGGAAGTCCATTCCACCCAAACTTTATGCTTTAAAAAAATCATAAAGACATGGTAAAATTAATCCATATTAATCAAGCAGTTTAATCCAAAATTTAGGATTTTATTCACATATAAACATTGATCAACATACAGAACATGGTCAATGGTAACTCAACCGTTTTACTCACCCTCATGTCATTCCAAACCCATAAGACTTTTGTTCATCTTCAAAACACAAATAAAGAGATTTTTAATGAAACCTGAGATTTTTGTCCCTCCATTGGAAGTCCATTCCACCCAAACTTTATGCTTTAAAAAAATCATAAAGACATGGTAAAATTAATCCATATTAATCAAGCAATTTAATCCAAGTCTTCTGAAGAGACATGGTTGCTTTATATGATGAACAGATTTAATTTAGGATTTTATTCACATATAAACTTTGATCAACATACAGAACATGGTCAATGGTAACTCAACCGTATGTATGACAACAAACCTCAAAGCACATTTGAGTTTCAGAAGACTTGGGTTAGAAGTTTGGAACAATATGAGGATGAGTAAATCCTTCTCATTTTGAGTGAATTATCCTTGTATCCATGTTCTATGGTATGTCTGCATATGTCTGTCCGTGTATGTGTGTATAACAAGCCTCATCTTTGTATGGGGTCTCAGACCCAGGGACAAAGTTTGAAATATGTACCTAACGTTGAAGTATCTGGCTAATACTTAGGACATTTTTTTAAATGTTACGTTATTTATGTTTGCAATCTCAGAGACCCCAAAAACATGAATAAATCCAATACATTTTTACATTCTAATTATCCTTGTATCCATGTTCTATGGTATGTCTGCATATGTCTGTCCGTGTATGTGTGTATAACAAGCCTCATCTTTGTATGGGGTCTCAGACCCAGGGACAAAGTTTGAAATATGTACCTAACGTTGAAGTATCTGGCTAATACTTAGGACATTTTTTAAAATGTTACGTTATTTATGTTTGCAATCTCAGAGACCCCAAAAACATGAATAAATCCAATACATTTTTTACATTCTACATTTTGCAGTACACACTGTACCTCTTCTGCCAATTGATTTCTTTTATTCTATTTTTCAACAGTGTTTTTGCTGAAGTCAAATTTAACCCAAACAGAAGTAAAATTGCTACATTTTTGTGGTGATAAAAGTCCCCCCCCCCACGTTTTTTCATCAGGAAGTTCGTTTTACACTTGACCGCTGCGCAGGAGCCACTATCATGGAGATGGAGGGAGTGGGCAGCTGGCTAACTACTGAAGACCACACTTCCTGTGAAGTTACTGGCGTCACACCGAACATGGACAAGTAAATCACTTCCTTTATTTATCTTTACGCACCAATGCATAATTGTTTGAAGTGTTAAAAATGTGGCCCTGATGAATCATTAAAGTTTGAGTTCTAAACAAATCATTCTTCCACCATGATAGCAGGACACAGTGGACGAGTCAATGAAACAATCATTACCCTCCCCTTTCTCCCTCTACATATGGGACTCGTGCCAATTATGGACTCGCTTATGTCTTGAAATATGTATAATTACACAAAGGTCTCAATCCAAAAGGTCAAATGAATTATCAGAGTGAATCTCTCGAGGAAAATGACCTCTCCATAGCATACTAGTAACTCATGTGGTAGAGAAGCAAACGTGGCTAGGGTAATGACCTCTTCTGATGTGCTTTCAGGCATTTGAACGTGACACAGGTGCTTCAGCTAGGAGGAGTGAATGAGAACCTGCCGTATATCTACCCACAACTACAACACAAGCACTTTACTGGCTGTATCCGAAACCTCATTGTGGACAGCAAGGTGAGGAAATGCATGCATATCAGTACAGACAGAGAAAAATCTTTGACAACAGTGATAGAGTGAGGGAAGAAGAAAAGATAAAGAAGCTTTATTATGCAAAGTCCTGTAACAGAGATGAGTCTTTTTATTTTTATATGATCTACAGAATTCTATCTATCTATCTATCTATCTATCTATCTATCTGTTACAATTATGACTTTGACTGGTGTACGACTGTTTTTCTCTTTGGTTGTTCTTGGTTTGGAGGTGACAAAAGCCTAAGAATTTATCACTGCTGATAACAGTTGTGCTGCTTAAAATTTTGTGGAAACCATGCTACATTTTTTTCAGGATTCTTGATGATGAACAAAGTTCAAAAGAACAGTATTTTTATGCTGTCCCTTTTTAGATGAGCAAAGACAGAAAAAAAAAAAAAAAAAAACATGCCATGACTTCTTAGGGTTGCATCCAACCATCAGTTTTGAGTGTTTTTGGAACAAATATATCAGCCATAGATTTTGCTAATACATGTCCCAGCATAGTTCTGTCAGTATATGTACTTTTAACCATTTAGCTGCTGAAGGAGATTTGATAGTAAGCTGTGTCCATAGTCTCATAAGTCGATCTGTGATATCATCTCACCCCACGTTATGTCAAGGTTTGTTAACAGTGGGTGACTATTTGTTTCTCATTGTACGATTATGACTCAGCTGAAGGTTCTTGAGTCTAAAACACTTAACCAGTGGTCGCCAGACACAAAGAAAGAGCAGAGAAGTGTTCACTTAGGCTACTGGGGCTTGACTGGAGAGCAGGTCATAGACTGTTAAAAGAGGAAGTACAGAGGTAGCATTGCTATTTTAGACTCTCTTCTGCCCACTCTCTTTTCTCAAACAGTTTACTTAATTACTTTTGCTTTCTCCCTGTTAGTGACCTGTGTGAATTCTGAGTAGGCTTTTTGGTGGCAAATACACAGTGTTATGGGGTGCATGGAAACGTGGTTTTAAGATTTAAGGATATTATGCCATTTACTGAGCCACTTTGGGAGGTACATCCAGGGAACTGCAGTACGTTACTTAAAAGGTCACACAGGTTTGCTTGAGCCGTGAATTCATACAAAAATAAAGTATAATCCTTTACTAAAACCAGACTTAAGGAAAGAATAAACCAAACAACTCTAAACCTTACAGTGGAAAGGCTGACCTTTCAGAGGTGTACACAAAAAAAAAAAAAACAGCAACCACAGCAAATCAAAATCAAAAAGTGAGACACCACCTGACTACCATCTCTAATGGGTCATTCAGCTCCAACTACGAAAAAGTCAGTGTAGAGCAAGAAAATCAAGTTGCGTTTGTCACCGAACAATGATACTAATGGTCACAATGGTCACAAGGAAAGAAAGGTCTTGAAATGGTTTTGCGACAATGACCTGCTGGCTTTACATTGTTTTGCTTATTGCATGACTTCTTACCAAACAAATGAATATGAAATGTAGATACGAGGTGATTATTTTAGCTTTTATTAGAGAGATGGAAATTAGCACAGCTATGTAGGAAACATCGGCTTGAAGTAGTCAGTTAACGTATAGTCTTACCATGGACAACTGTCATTGTCCGCAGTTATGACTGTTGAATGCTACTAATAACGAATCCTTTGATTGCAAAGTGTCTGTTTTTCGCTGTGTATATGTTGTCTGTTGGTCATGTCATGTATTGAGTGTTTTTGAAAAAATCTCTTAAGCTTACGAAGACTGCCTTTATTTGATCAAAAATGCAGTAAAAACAATAATAGTGTGAAATATTATTACAAATTAAAACAACTGCTTTCTATTGTGATTTTTTTTAAATAATTTATTTCTGTAATGACAAAGCTGAATTTCCAGCAGTGATTATTCCAGTCTTCAATACTGCTTTGCTAAATGAAAGCATTCATTTCTTATTTAATGAAATGTAAAAAAAAAAAAAAATAAACTTTTGAGTTACTGGTTAGTTGTAGTGTTACAATGGACAACTGTCATTATTCAGAAATATAATACTGCTGAATTTTACTATTCACAGATGGATTTATTGTAAATTGTCTGTATTTTTTGTTCTCTCGGTGTTGTTAATGTTGTCTATTGGTCATGTAATGTGTGGAAAGTGTTATAGGTTCAATGTTTCCACACTGTGGCTCAGGAGACATTGTATTTTACTTCTTCCTTTGTTAGAAAAGAAAAGACAATAAACCAACCTGTCTAATATGAAATAATAGTGACAAACAGCAGTCGAGTGGAATTAATGCAGCCCTTTTGCTTATTTAGTTGTGCTGGTAAATCAGCCGTGCTATCTGTCTGTACAAGGTGCAACCAGTTCCCGCACAGGGGCAAACTCATGCTGCAACCACTTCAAAAACACGCCGTTAGGAAGAGTGGGCATGAATAAATGGGAGTCATCAGATGAAAGGAAAACTGATCTAATGTGGTGCGTGGTTGTTCTGTTGTGAAGAGAATTTAAGGACTCAAGGTTTCCCCATTCTTCTAATACAGAGTGCTGCAGGCCTGCTTTTTTAAGTGGCTGTGGCCTGCCCAGCATGGTAATATTCATTATGGCATGCTGGATTAAAGGTGAATGCACAAATAAGATAAAACGTTCTTTCTCTTTTCATCTCTTATCTTTTCAAGACCTCCCGGTTTGGCCTATCCTGAGCATTATTTCCTGCCTTATTTATATTTCCACAAGCTTATTCTCTCTCTCTCTCTTTTGTATTTCTGTTACTCTCAAGTGTTTTCGTGACTTCTGTACCTGTAAGTCTGTAACCCTCACTTCGACTGTCTCTCACTCTCTCTCTCTCTCAGTTTTATGACCTCGGTTCACCGGCTGACTCCTCTGGCAGTGCTCCGGGTTGTCTGATGACAGACAATAGTTGTGTGAACATGGGGTTTCCTTCCTGCGGGACCCGGGGGCGCTGCCATGGAGAGTGGGGTTCCTTCAGCTGTCAGTGCATACCTGGGTACAGCGGGTATCAGTGTGAAAAGGGTAAGTTTTCAAGCCACGTCTATTTCCACAAGTGGAATGTGAGAGAGACTGAGCCTTCGAAGATAAAGCAGATAAGTCATGGCTAAAGAGAATGGCTGAATGGATGTGACAACTGTCTGTGTGTGTGTGTGTGTGTGTGTGTCTGTGTGTCTGTGTGTCTGTGTGTCTGTGTGTGTGTGTGAAAGCTTTTCAGTGGGGCAGTGAATATCTTTGAATTGCTCTGTGTAGGAGGGATAGTGTTAGCACCCAGGCAGTATTTCACGCACACCAAATCTTGGCACAAATCGCATTCAGAAGTGTTATGAATTTGTAGAGCTTCTTTATGTAATGCAACTGGAACATCCTGTGATATTCTCACAGTGTGTTGTTCACTGTTTATGCCTCCTTTTTAAAGACTGCATCTGAAGAACACATTTGTGTGTTTTACAGAGGTCCCTGAGTATTCTTTTGATGGACGGAGTCACATACACTTTCAGCTGGCCTTCACTCTCCCAGCCAGACACACACAGGTTCAGGTCCTAGTTCGGACACGCAAACACAGCAGCTCTATCCTCAGCCTGCTGTCTAAAGAACAGAATGAATATCTCAAACTGGAGGTTAGTGCTCTTGAGGTTTCTCTCTCATGCTTTTCATTTCCCTTGAATATAGCAAATGCATTATCAAAGTTTTCTTTCTGATAAAGATTTATTATTATCATGTTCTTTTTGAAAATAATTATTTTCTTTTCCGAAACCTCTTTTGAATGCAATACATTTTTTTCACATTTCAAGTTGTATAAATTAACATTCATTTATTATGAAAGAACATATATTAACTTTGAACAATAATAGTTGTATCTCTGCCAAATATTGTCCGATCCTAACAAACCATACACCAATGGAAAGCTTATTTATTCGGCTTTCAGACAGTTGACCTTTATGACTGATTTTGTGGTCCAGGGTCACATATTTATACATGAACTTTAACTTATATATAATACCAGAAATATTGAGCACCTTGCCAACACCCTGCCAAGTGATTTTTTTTAATAAATGTTTTTAATATCTTCTCTGTTTCCCTACAAATTTGTGCCCATGAAATGTCCTTACAATGAATGAGCAATGTCGACCGCCAGCATATAAAGATTATTTGTTCTTGATGTGCTCTGTAATAGCAGCCCATCTGCCAGACCCCACGTACGTTGTTGCAACAGCGGTGCAATGTGAGAATTTGAATGGAGCAACGAGTTTGTGTTTAATCATAGAGGCATTAGTATGCGTCTCCCGATTCAGCTGATACACTTGCAGAATGCATGCCATCTACCCTCTCACTCCAAGGCTGTCTCTTTTTTTTTTCTTCTCTCAACACCTGCTTTAAGATGATGCAGTCGGATTGCTGATTGCTGCTTTGTTTCTCTCCCTCTCTCTCCTCTCCTTCTCTCTTTCTCTCCCATGTAAATCGTGGGTGATTTATCTGTGGCATGAATTAGACGTGTCTGTGAGACAGGCTAGAAGACATTTTATATCCCCTAAAGTGACAGGCTACAGATTTCATTACCTGCTTATATTATGATTCTTGCGAGGCTTCGCAGCGGTGAAGGAACTGATGCTGCCTTTGTGCCATGTGCGAAAGATTAAAATGTAATCTCCTGCTGTGCTCCTCTCAATTACCTTAGCAATAATGCTAATTGATGTGATGTGCCAATACCCATTTAGCATTGCCTGTTGTGTCTGATTATGACGCATCATCTCTCAGAGACATTTCTAGCAAGGTGTTCTTGTCATCAGCGGATGAGGAGGAAATAATAGTTTGATCATCTAATTTCTTCTCAAGACACTTAGCCACAACTCCATTAGTGGCAGCAGAATATCAATATAGTGTGCGTTCCTCTTTGAATTCTAGGGATTCTGACTCAGAACTAGTTTACTGAGAGATGTATTGAGTTGTTTTCATCTCATAATTTTAGCCATGGCCCAGATGGGTAGGAGCCCAAATGGATGCTGCTTTTAAAATATACAGAATGGATTTAAACTTGGTCAATTGTGGTATACAAAGCCAAATGTTAAATCATTAGTGCTTACTTGTGCCGGTATTCGGTAATACGATATATCACGGTAATGAACATGCACAATATTGTTATCATGGGCCCTTCAAAATACCGTGAATAATTATTTATTACTAATTATTTAAATTTTTGAATGCAATTAAATAAAACTTTTCCCATCAACTGGCTAAAATGCACAAAACCACTGTATGCTGCGTCAAAGAGGCATGAGCACTCTGATGTAAACAAGCCCAACACGTTGAAAAGTGCATGGCAGAACAAGTGGAGATGTGCTAAATGAAAATGCACATTCACTCTCTGACAGCAGATGACGCTAATGTAACAGCAGAAATGCAGCCGTTACCCTGGTAACCCCATAAACAAAGCAGCTGCGCTACTTTCTGAAACGTATTTAATATAATGCCGCCTGGCCCAGTGAAGTGCCTTTTCCTTTTCCTGAAATCGGTGGAAGCAGACAATGAATTTGTCCTGGTCTTGGAGATTGCCCTACTCCAGGTTTGGGGTGAAGCGCGCGATGTGCTCGCTCAAATTCAGTAGCTCTCCATGGTATCTTTAAGCAGCCCAGATATAAATCCGATGGGGTCTTTTCCATCCTCACTGCCTTCCGGAATATTAATAATACGCAGGTTAGCCCTTCTGGATCTATTCTCGAGATCGTCAATTTGGTCAAGACGAGATCAGTTCTCTGCCTTCAAGAATTCAATCGTCCGCACGACCAGCCTTTCGAAGTTTTCGCCAACCAATACTTCAGTAGATTCGAGTCGGTGCTGAAACAAGCTGATTGTCTCAAGTAACATGTCATGGGAGCCTTTTAACGGCTTGAGGTGCCATGTCCTCTTTTAAACTGGCCCACTGTTTTGCCAGTTCGGAGACTAGCTGACTCCTCGACAAATTATCCGTGTTGTCTTTTTCGGGTGTATCCTTATGCTATCGGTATCGCTAGCCACCATAGCTGCTAATTTATCTGCTAGGGTAGTACCTGACCGTGTTGCTGATGTGGTACTTTTCTTCTGTTTAGAGTTGCTCATTTAGCTTTCTGAACTGTGTGAAGTGTAATTCTTAGAAGGCGCTTTAATGTGTTTAAAATGAGTGTGGTTGCGAGGTCCTCGTCTCTGCTGCTCTCTCACATCGCCAAACCGGAAGTCCACCTGATGAAATATTTTAGATCTTGACATAAACAGAACAGATACAAATATATATTCATTGTACAAAATGCCATTAGAGTTTTAAAACTTTATTAATTTACATGATTTTTCCGGGTCTAGTTATAATACTTTTAAGATGAGGCTATCAAATATATATTTTGTGGTGGGCTTATGGAATGAGGCAGGAATGTCCCCTCAGTGTGTGTTGGGTTTAAACTACTTTTATACTCTAATTGAGCTCATATTATGCAATATTCATTGTATTTGATTTTCATACTGCTCATTATTTTCTCATCCACATTTATTTGGAGCCACTGCCTGCCTTTCCTCCTCAGAGAAGACACTTCATTCCTGCTTCAACACCTGATGTCTCATCTCTTTATAGCATATCACCAAGAAGGATTCATTTAAAGGCATAGTTCACTCAAAAATTATAATTCTGTGATTAATTACTCGCCCTCATGTCGTTCCAAACCCGTAAGACTTTCTTCATCTTCAGAACGCAAATCAAGATATTTTTGATGAAGTCCGAGAGCTTTCTGACCCTCCATAGACAGCAAGGGAACTACCACATTCAAGGTGCAGAAACATAGTAAGGACATCGTTAAAATAGTCCATGTGACATCAGTGGTTCAACCTTAATTTTATGAAGCTAAGAAAATACTTTTTTGTGCGCAAAGTAAACAAAAATAATCACTTTACTCAAAAATTATTCTCTTCTGGTCAGTCTTTGCCGCCATTCACGATAGTACCACGATGCATGCATGTGTATTCCTCAGCTTGTAAACAAGGCACAGCGCAAACGTGTTCTACGTCAGAATGCGGGCTCCTGCATCAGCAGCATCACATGCATGTATCGTGGTACTCCTCTCAACAAAAAGTATTCTCGTACCTTCATAAAGTTAAGGTTGAACCATTGATGTCACTTGGACTATTTTAACAATGTCCTTACTATGTTTCTGGACCTTGAAAATGGTTGTTCCGTTGCTGTCTATGGAGGGTCAGAAAGCTCTCGGATTTCATCAAAATATCTTTAATTTGTGTTCTGAAGATGAACAGAGGTCCTACGGGTTTGGAACAATATGAGGGTGAGTAATTAATGACAGAATTTTCATTTTTGGGTGAACTATCTCTTTAATGATTGCCAAGATTTTGTCATGACATTGACCGACGATGCCTCATAATATTTGTTTACACAACAAAATATTAAAAGGTGGTAAGAGAACCCAGGCATACACTGCACTTTATGTACTTAATATCCAATTATCCATAATTACCGTATTGACCCGAATATAAGACGATGTTTTTTTTTGTTGGTACATTTTACCCATTTTTACCATACTTTCAAAACAAAAATTTAAATAGGAAAAATATGCAATATGAAAATAATTTAAGACAAAATGTGTTTTACTGAGAAAAAACAAGATTTGGTTTTTAAAAAGCCTTTTTTTCCAAAAGGTACATCTGGAAAAAGGGGGGTCGTCTTATAATCAGGGTCGTCTTATATTCGGGCCAATATGGTAAATGCCTTTTAATTCTTAAACATGCAGCTGGGCAGATGGCTTCACCTGCTGCTCCAGTGGATGACATTGGTTTCTGGATCATTGGGTGGGGATGAGCAGCATGCAGACACCTGTCACACCAACAAGCGATGAGAATGAACATCTGTACTGTCATTTATGCTGTAAATCTTAGGACAGTGGTTCTCAATTCCAGTCCTGGGGTACCACTGCTCTGTGCATTTTGAGAACGACTGTATTTTTCCATGGAGAGATTAAAGTTAATGTTCTTGTTAATTAGTAACCTCATTGTCAAACATGGCATTTTCAACCTTTTTTCCACCAGAGAGGAGCTATGGCTAATAACCATGTGCATGTAAAGGAAAACACCAGTTCAATTATTGTTATTAGACTTAAAAATAAGGCAACAACTTTATAGTGGAGGGCTTGTTGGATATTGGATGACTCAAAGCATAAAACTGCAGAGTTTTATACTGTACTTTGTTATTACACACTTTTTATCTTACAAACCCTTGTAAATAATAAAGCTTGCCTTCGAAAAATTTGATTTATAAGAAGCAATCGGTTTAAGAAGAGCTCACAAAGGGAAAGAGAGAGTAAAAGAAAGTCTCACAGCTGACCACTAGAGAGTCGGAGAAGCAACACAAGAATATAGTGGCAAACCTCACTGACACCATATTGAATTCCCTGTTCCCACTGTCTCCAATTAAAGGCCCGATATGTTTTATTCTGTCAGTGCTCAGTTGTTTTATCAGATCCTGCCCCAGTCTGATGTCTTAAGTCCCCAATTGGTCTACTTTATCCCATACTGAACCTTTCTCTCACTTTCTCTCTACCACCATTTCCATAATTTCACAACTGTTCTTTGTCTGTGCCACTATATATTCTCCAGATTCCTCAGGAAATTTACAAAACCGTAAATTAATTTATTCTGACCGCATTCTCTCTCTCTTTTTTGTCCCACTTTCTCAGATCTATCAGGGTCTTTTAAGTGTCTTCTACAACCTCGGTGATGGGGACTTCAACTTGACAATGCCGTCTTATCGTTTAGACAACGGAGAGTGGCATGACATTTACTTAGATCGGCATGACAATGAGATGACCCTGCGCCTGGACGGCGGGGGAGGACAGCGAGAGGTCACGGGATCGCCGGGTCACAGTCGGGAGATTGTTATTGATCCTGCTGTGGTGATGCTGGGCAACTCATTCCCCTCAGGACACAACAAGAGCTTCCAAGGTAAGGTGCAGGTGTGCTCCTTAAGTTCAGTTGGTAGAGCATGATACCTACCAGCCAATGACATAGATATCAATCTCTGAGAATCGTATTCCCAATCCATGTAAGTACAGTATATACTGTAATATACACTACCATTCAAAAGATAAATGATAGGTAATACACAGTAAAAACACCAGGGCTGTCAGAAAATTGAAATGATGTATCACAAATAATCTCTTTTTCTTGCTTTCTTTAAAACAATACAACAGATGCAAAATTACCTCCAGACCTGTCATAACTTGCAAAGGACAAACAAGCTCAGGTGTCTCATTAAAGGAACAAGAAACTGCTTGTTGAGACTGTTTTTCACCTGCTTATTCAATTGTTTTTCATTTAAAAGTGAATGGTTATAACGATAGCCTTTTTACATTACCGCTAATGATAAATTAAAAAGGCATCATATTGCAGTATGAGTGCTGGCAAAAATGGTTAAGAAATGCTATTCTAGTTCTAAATGCATTTTCTAATTTCTGTTTTATCTTGTTATCCTGTGTCTACATAAAAAATAAAAATTAAATTAAAAAAATAAAAATAAGCATCATAGTGTGAAAAACATACAACATTATAAATTGTTCTTTCAAAGCAGCACCAAGTACAGCTCCCTGATAAGCAATTCCCAATGCTTAGCGTCTCAGAGTTGATTAGCAGTCTGTGCGGTCTGTCCAGAGCTGGTCGCAATAGATGAATTGGTTACAATAAATGAAATGGAGTCAATGTGTCAAAGTGTGCATGGAGAGCTGTGGACAACTCCAATAAACACTGTAGCATGACATTTTGAGCTAACAAAAATGCTCTGTCCCATGGCCTGAAAAATCCAATCACTGAGTTATATCAGAGCACTGTGAAGTTTACCGCTAATCCAATTTAACTTCAGTCGGAGAAAGAACTTAGCCAGCACGTGTACGTCAAGCAGACGAATCTGTACAGCTTTATCAGCTAATTCATACCACAGTTCCTCTATCTGTCATGATTACACACTATTTTATTGGCAATAATGAAAAATTAATAGGAACAATTAATTCATAATAGCCTCAAATGCACCTTCAGTGTAGAGAGGAAGTACAGCTAGCATAAAAACAGACAGCGGGAGGGAAGGGAGACAATGACGTGACATGAAAGAGAAGAGGAGGTGGAATAGTCCTCTGTGCACAGACACACTGGTTAGCCTCAGGCACACACTTTGTGTGTTTATTAAATGGACTCTAAAAGCACTTTTTCTTAAAAGCTCCAAATATGAGTAGATCATGTTGAGCTCAGTTTATCTATGTGTGCATGTGAAGAAGCAAGTGTAATGTAGGTATAAGAGGTATAACTCACACTTTACGCTATATTTGTACTGAAACATGAAACATGTTGGCTTTGGTTTTGTTTTTCTCATTGGCACAGGCTGTATGCGGGACTTGAGACTCAACGGGCGGTTTATTCCTCTGGACAGTCAGGCCAGAGAGGGGGTGTCGGTGGTCAGTTCTCAAGGTGTCTCTCTGGGTTGTTCCTCTGACTCCTGCCGGAAAAACCAATGTAGCCCCCCCTTTACCTGCGTGGACCTGTGGAGAATCCATGAATGCAGGTACACAAATACACACAGTTGTGGTCAAAGGTGGTCATTATTTTGCCTAAATAATAGGGATCATACAAAATGCATGTTTTTTTTTTTTATTTAGAACTGTCCAGAATAAGATATTTTATATAGTTAAATAATAATTGAATTTATTTATTTAAATTAAATATTTAAATGAAGTGAGAAAATTGTACACATCTTCAGTCTGTTCAAAAAAGAAACAAGTTAAATAGGTTAGTTTTAATAAAAATCTGATCTAATCTGCTCAATGTAAGACACACACGCAGTAGGGTTTTCCACTTAGCCAAGCCTTGTGCACTTTGGCTCCGGGGTGTGTGTCAATACGCCTCAGTCAAAGGCAGGTATGATATCTGTGGGCTGCTCTTCACCCCGGACCTATCCACTGTCCTCTCTGACTGTGAGAGCTGTGCAGCTGCTGTGTGGTTGATTGTGTCTATGATTGTATGTTATTGGCATTGGCATTGGGGGGAGCTGGAAGAAATATTTTTGAAAAGGGGGGCTCTGAGGTGTTCTTGGGAGGCATTTGATTAAGCCGAGTGTACACCAAAGATGTATGAGCTGAAACTCGCAAAAGAAAATGGTCTGCAGCATCCAAACACTGTCTCTACACTGGATGCATCATAGCGAACTTTCCATATCTGTTTAACTGATTAGTGCGGCAGCGCAAGCAGGTGGAGTGCGTCAGAAATAGAATGCAGCATTCGTTCACTGTAGCGCGTGTAGAGTTTAACACTCATATATATTATATGTAAGTTATATATGCTCCTTGGGAAACTAATGATACCTAATGATATTTCAAGTCCAGTCCAATCAAATATTATGAATGTCAAGTGGCATTCAATTACATTTTTAAAATTATGTGGGCTGTTATAAGGGCCAAATACATGCTTTTAAAATATATATTATAAATAAATTATATATACACCACTATTCAAAAAGGGGTCAGTAAGATTTTTTTTTTTTTTTAATAAATCTCTTCTGCTCAGCAAGGATGCATTTATTTGATCAAAAATAAAGTAAAACCCATAACTCTACCATTTGAAAGAACAGTTTTCTAGTTGAATATATTTTAAAATGTATTTTTCCTGTCATGCTAAACCTTCATTACTCATCCTTCAGAATTCATGCTAATTGCTGAAAAAAACATTATTTCTTCTTCTTCTTCTTCTTCTTCTTCTTCTTCTTCTCATAGCTGTTATGTGTAGTTGAAAATGGTTATGCCACTCAGTAATTGTGTGGAGGTGTTTTAATTTTTCAGTGAACAGAAACATTGAAATGTAAATATGAAATTGAAAATAGAAAGTTGAATCATTTGAAATTATTTTAAATATTTATTAACATTATTCATGTCTTAACTGTCATTTTAATTTTTTTATTGCACATTTTACTTTTTTTTTATTACACATGTACAATGCAAGATAAGGAACATATCAATATCGTAAGCCACACCACACTGACATAAAAAAGCAAGATATGAAATTGAATGGACTCATGACTAACAAAAATATAAATCAGGACAGAGATAAAATAGTAATTATTTCGACGAGGCACATATGTTTATATCTTTCTACTTAGTTTTCTTTAAGTATTTGAAAGCAAACTTTGAAATATTCTCATAAATCTAAGCAGTATAGTAAAGAAGGGCTTACATTTCTTACATTTACATGTGTAAATGTGATATTTACCCACCAAAATTACCATGTTCAGTCAGAAAATAGGGAATTCAGTATAATCTTAAAAAACAGGGTATTTTCTAAAACTAAGGGATAAATATTATTTTTCACTGAAAGCTAATTGGAAACATCCACCCAAATTGTATAAGTATAATCACTGCTGTAAAGAGGGTGTCCAGGAGTTCCATGAAAAGAAGAACAAACGGAAATTAAAAATCTCTTCTGTAAAAATTCCCCTGTGGATTTATTCTAAACAGGAATGTTTAACAAGTCTCTTTGGGGCAACAGGGTATGTCAGATAGAGTGTGAATGAAACCTCAACATCGCCACGAAAATCACCTGAAAATCATCACATGATTACGCTTATGGTCAAAAAATGTACTGTAAAAAAATATATATATATTTTTTTTCCTTTTTGATCAATTTAATGGATTCTTGAATATCACTTTCTTAATCTTAATGACCCCAAACATTTGAATGGTAGCCTACTGTAAATAGAATAACTGCCCTCATTATAAACACAAAATAATAAGCAACTTCAAATTAAGTGAAGACAATTAGACTAAATTTTAATGATAGGGGGCGCGGTAAGGGACCTGGATAATGGGCAGGGGGGCCAGCCAACCAAAAAAGGTTGAGAACCACTGGTCTACAGGCATTGCTTCTAACTTGCCAAGAGGCTGCCCTATTCTTGTTCTTATCAGTTTTGTAAGCATTCTCGGTGTCGGTCACCTTGGATTTCCACACTGTGTGCATTCTTTCAGTGCTCCGTCATTTCTACACTGATCTCCTGGGCAAAGGAAAAATCTTTGTGATCTCAAGCTTATTTTATTCACACAGGATTTGAAATATACCAGCTCTCTGTGAGCAGTTTTGCATTTACAAACATTGTGTGGACATTTTTAATGTACCAAAGAATATTCAATTTTCTATTGACCAATGTCCTCTAATTTTTGCACCACTAGCAGTACCAAAATTGTCAATGAAATCCATAGAAGACATTAAAAAATGTGTTTTCATTTTAGTTATTTTGGGGTTTTTTTGTGAACATATTAACATTTGATTAATGCTTCTCTCCTTTTGTCTCCTCCAATTGCAGGTGTCCCCCAGGTCACATGGTCAAGGCAAACTCCACTGACAAATTCTGCGTGTACACGCTCTGTGCCAGCCGCCCGTGTCATAAGGGTACTTGTATGGCACAGTCTCCCTCTAAGTTCACATGCCACTGTCCAGAGGGCTACCGCGGACTTCACTGCGAGGTGACACTGGCCATCTACAGAGACGACGTGGGTCTCAGTTTCAGCTCCCTCTTTGCCATATGCATCTGCTTTATGGCCCTACTAGGTATCTATCTTCAGCTTGTGCTCTTAAAAGAAAATTCCTGACTTGAAATGAACCCTTTGTTTTTGCCTTACTGTTTTTGTTTGTCTTGTCTTGTGCAAAAATCACCTGCATAATTTTACATAGCCTATTTCTAATATAAGTAACTAATAATGTTAGTTATTATCATAATACAGGTGCTTTAATGGTGTCGCTACATTGATAAATTTGAGTGTTGGATTAAAAATTAATTATTCAGCATCACTCCTGGTGAACTTTACAGTTTTAGTAAACAATTTCGCTGCAAAAGGACAGTTAGTTACTTCTTTTTTTTTATGATAATGTCTCTCTCAGTCAACACACAGATTGTTGGTTTGCTGTGAAATATTAGTTTCAATAAGAGGCTTCAATTAATGTGTCTTTCTGTCGCATAAATATTAACTCTGCTCCTCCTCCTCTGCCGAACCTCATGTATTTTTAAAACTTATTTTGATGGTTGGCACTTCAGTATTCTTGCGCTGTGATTATTGATATGTATTTATTCATATATTTTTCCCATGTAGAAGCTGTAGTACACTCTAAAAAAAAAAAGGTTCTTCAGCGGCAGCTGCATAATTTATTTATGTTGCAATGCATGCTGGGAGCCATGGATGAGTTATGATTGGTGCACCATTGTTGAGAAAAAGTGCTATATGGCACCTCTTATGGTTCTACATGGCACCATTTGACAAAGGTGCTATATAGCACCTGTAAAAATAGGTGCTAAATAGCACTAAAAGTGGTTCCCCTATGATTACGAGTCAAAGAACCGCTTTTAGTGCTATATAGCACCATTTTTTTTTTTAGAGTGTAGAGTTTGGTATATGTAAATATTTCTTTCATATGCAAAGGTTTCTATCAATCATGTTCCCATGTGTTGCATGTTACTAGCATTGTCTGACAGCGGTAAAGAACACAGTCTACATAATCAATGATCATGACTTCTGAAACTCTTATTAACTCCCTTCATTCTGACGTCCTCATCTGCCTGCATGACTGCGTTCAGTGAGGCCAAAGGGAACCAAACAATCTTTTTCCTCCTCTCACAGTTTCGTTCCATTATAGATTTGACATGACCTTATTCATTCTCAGCTCCAGTTGCTTTTTAAAGTGTTAATTACTTGATTTGTAGGCACACATTGTGCTGTTTACCCAAGCCGGGCTGGAAATTGAGATCAATGCACTAGGGTTTTGGGTAGAATTTCAATGGTCCCAACTGTCCTCAACTGAATTTAAGTAGCCCGTAAGGTCCCCCCCCGTCCCCCGTCCCCTCCTCAGTGCTTTTTTCGGTCCCACTTTATATTAAGTGGCCCTAATACCTGTGTACTTACATAGTAACTAGATGTGTACATAGTATGTGACCACAGTGTAAGTACACATTGGTACCTACAGCTGTAATGTTTGTGTAACTACACATATGTAACAACCCACTGAAATGGTATGTGTAAATACAAATGGGTAACAGGACTAACAGCACTTTTTGGTAAAGAAAGTGTTACACTTTATATTAAGTAAACAATTCCTATGGATTTACCATGTAATTACTCTGATGTTACACAGCAGCGGCCAGTAAGTTAGGCTGTACATATAAATTGTGGTTGGTGTCCAGAATGGTACACTTATTAAGTGGACAGTTCCTGAGGAGTTACCATGTAAGTGCACTGGTATTACAGTGGTGCACCAACTCGAGATCCAATGTACTCTTATACATATTGTTGTTACAAAATGTAGTTATATATGTCCTGTTACACATTTGTACTTACACAAACCATTCGGAGGGTTGTTACATGTGTGTAGTTACAGAAATATTACAGCTGTAGATACTATGTACCAATGTGTACTGTGGTTACATACTACGTACACATCTAGTTACTATGTAAGTACACAGGTGTTAGGGCCACTTAATATAAAGTGGGACCCTTTTTTCTTCTTTGTTTCTCTTCATTCTGTCCTGTCGGTTTGGAACGATTCCAAATGGAGACGAGCGACGAGTCAGAGAAATATGGTTCAAGCTCTCTCTGCCATATGAAAGGCTTCGGCACAGTGTTAAGAAGATTTTTTTCTTCCTGTAATGCGGTTAATAGGTTTAGCACACCGTGCTAACACTACGCCTCCACGTAACCAGTCAGGCCTCACTCTTCCCTGCTGAAAAACAGCCCCTGCTGACTAGCACATCACTACAGAAACAGCAAAGAGGGAAAAGGTCCATCTGTTAAACTCCATGAGCGGATAATAGGGAAATGTGGTGCTCTAAACAGGAGGAGAAGGATTTGGATTGTTCTTGTGGTTGCTACTTTTGAGGGTTTTATTCCACTATTGTGGTGTCTAAGGATACGTTTATACAACAACAATGTAAAAAAATGGAAACATTTTTCCTTTGTGTTTTTCCCGTACAGATGACATGTCAAAACGATCCCTAGGTCACATGGATCCATGAAAACGACTTAAAATGCCATACTGTGCATGCCAGGCCGGTAGTTGATGATGTCAAAGAAACACTACACAAACACGTATATAATATGCATACGCTTGACATCATCGTTTTCACAAAAATACATGTTTTGTTTACACCGAGACAATAATGGAAACCCGTTTTCAAAAGTTTGCATTTTCAGGCCTCCAAAACACCGTTGCCATGTAAACGAACAGCCAAAACACATCAAAAGTTTTCAGTTTTGTTGTGTAAATGGCCCCTAAGAGATCATGTGACTCTGTATGCAATTAAGACTAAAGTCTTTCGCCCCAGTATATATCTATTTAATTACTTATGAATTAATTTTACAGGTCACAATGTCACCTTTTACACCAAAAATTTTAATAAATACATAAAAAGAAAAAAAAAAAAATCTTATTATCATGGACAATAACATTAATCATTTTAGATAATTTTACTCACTCACTAATTACTGCAACAATAACAATAATAAAAATAATAATTATCTTAAAGTATTTATTTATCATGGTAGCATTTGTTGTACCTTGTTTTTTAACTAGAGCTATGTACCTGTTAATTTACATATCATAAGAATACTCAACACTGGATACTGACTCTGTCCAAAGAACCCGCTGTGGAAATGCCTCACTTGTCCTCTATTATACATGGATTGTCAAGTCTTTCTATGGCAATGCTGATATGCAGATTTGACATTCACACAGTGTAGATGCTCACCTGTGGGAAAAATCACCCATCATAACTTCAAAAGACAGACTTGAATGATTATGGTTTATAGTGCTCTTTTACAATCTCTCTCTGTGACTCTCATGGGATCCTTTTTTAATGTCTGTGTGAAAAGTTTCTTTCAGTTAAGAGACTCTCAGTAAAGTGTCAGTACCCCTATCTTCATTTTCCATGCATTTTGGTGACATCTGCTCAGAGATTAAAAAATATGCCCCGTAAGACTTTTTACACATACATTTAGACCTCAGGACTTCTGTATTTTTCTCATTCTACTAAACCAAGTCTGTCAAATTGTGTCCTTTTATTTTCCACATCTTTATTGTCCCAATCATTAGTCATTGCCATCTATCATTTAATGACACAATGTGTTCTAAAACTGCCATGAAGTTTCTATAATTTGCATTGCAGTTGTCATTTTGGGTGTTCAAAAGCAGTTTAAGGTGTGAATAGTAATAATGTTTTCAATAGCATGTGATTTCTTTGAAATGGTGCATTATGTCAGTTTTGAATGAATGATTTTTGAGAAAATGGGTACAGACAGTATGCTGAAGTACTACATGCACGTCACACATACAGATCTGACATGATAAAGCATGTACTTCATGCAAGATTTATTTAGTGAAGCTTCTGAAAGCTATACAGATATGCTATCAGATTATAAATGGATAATTGCAGTATTTTTTAAGTAAATGAGAATGTCTCATTATTTTTAACAACAGTTTGAAGAAAAGTCATAATGTGAGTCATTTGTTTAATTAGCCACCTAATGAATACAACTGTCATATTTTAATGTAAGAAATGTGGCATGTCTTAAACTACTGAGTGCAATTTATTAACCTGAATTGCCTCAGTGCCATCAAATTAAATGCTCTGAACTATCATTTCCTTTTTTTTTCTTTCTTTTTTTTAATTACAGTCCAGTATTCAAGTTTAACTAAAAACTAATTAATTTACCTTTTGAGTTGATGTGTTGTGCAGAGATTCGTGATGTTCTGAGTTCTAAATTAAACAAATTACAGTTTATGAAGATGAACCGCTTAAAATGCAGCTGAGCAACGTTTTGTGTTTTTCCAAACCTAGAGAGAATGAAGAAAACATTTGTTTTCTATCAAAAGCTTTCATCAGCTTCTATTGTTTTTATGTTGAGCAAATGATACACATTTTCTGTCTCAACTAACAGTCACACAAAGATTTCTACATTTTTACATGTTCAATAAGATATTATTTAGTACCTTTATTAAGGCTTTTTTTTCTTCTTTTTTCATGGGGATGGTTGACTTGATGGCATGTAACCTTTATTATTAGTAGTATCTTTCTCTGGTGTATCTGTGTTGATTAATTAATGTTATGATAGCAGTAAATGTCAGTGTCTCATGCTCATACTGATTTGAAGCATTTGAAGGTGGAGAGTGTCTGAATCCTTCCAGGGACCTTAAATGTGAATGTGGAAAAACTGACTATGTGGTCGTCAGGTCCGTGTTCCTTCTGGTCATTTAATTTTCTACATACGAAGAAATAAAGGAAAAATGAGAAGCAGTTTGATTTTCATTTTTTAGTTTTATTTAAGAAATTTAAAAAATAAGCTAAATTTTTCATGTTTTTGTTCATGGGTAAAAAATTATATTATGCTTTAATGTGTGTTTCGAATGTGTGGGCGGCCCTAAAATGCCCCTTTCGTCTACTAGGTGGCAACCGCAATCTCAGCTTATTTTCAATAGGAGAGATGCAGCAGGCGAGCCGAGCTTATTCACGAGAATCCTGCGTCTGCTAGTGGTGCTTACAAGATTTTAAAAAATTGCTCCGGTTA